GATTATAATCGATACAAAAAGGATTCTTTTTAATGTCGGAAGACGTGAACGGAAATTATTTTCTTTTTTATACTTTTTTTTTTTTGGTTAGCATTTTTAATTTTTTTTTTAAACACGACTTTTTTACTTACACAATTATATTTTTGAAAAAAAAAAAAAAAATATTAAAAACAAAAAAAAAAAAAAAAATTTGAAAAATAAATATTTTATACCGCTTTTATGGTGTATTTTTTTTTTTTCTTTCGTGCTTTCTCGCTTTCTCTATTATTCTTTGGGGGTTATTATTTGTGTGTATTTGAAATTTCATTCGAATATTACAGAAAGAAAGCTTTTGAGGATCGTATTGTAAGTATTTTCAAATTATTTATCACTTTTTTTTCGTGTGTTTTTAATAATCCATGATACCTAAAAATGTTTCAAAATAGAAAAACCGCGGAAAACGTAAGAATCAACCTACGGATGAAGAGTCGGATTCTAAACGTGTTAGTCTAGAAGACAATGATCGTGAGGAAGTACTAGATCCAAAGGCTAATGCATATTTAAAGGAGATGCAAAAATATAATGAAAGATTGTGTAAAGATGACGCAGGTCATGTTCGTCCGTTGGTAAAATAATATTTATTATTGAGAAAAGAAAAAAAAAAAAAAACTTGAAAGAATGGAAACTACGACATAATGTAATTTAAAAAAAAATATATATATTTATTTTTTTTTGAGAGGGAGATTCGATCATATAATTAGGAGTAAATATACACATTATATATATATATATTTGTATCAACGATTGGCTTTTCTCTAAGGTTCATTTAGTATATTTATATAAAGACTCTTCTTAATATCTTTATTATTACATTTTATTTTTTTATTTATTAAAAATCTTTCACTATAATTATTATTACAAGTTAATACTATTAATACAATTTCTAGATAAATCATAAATTATTTAACCCTTAAAACGATTAATTTATTTATTACTTTCTTCAGAAACAGGAGTCTGAGGAACAAGGTAAAAGGGTAAAGCAGGTTGCAATTTACCAGCCTTTTCACAAGCGACCAACCAATCAGGTTTAACGATAGGGATTGAACCATCTAAAGCCTTTTGATATTCAGAACCACCTTGAATGTTACATAATAAGTGAGTAGTATTAGGACCAATTTGTTCACTATAACTAGCTCCGATCCTTTCCAAAATTTCAATTAACTCTTGTTTGGTATATGAAGGATTTTCACCATCTTGTTCTTCATCATCATTACTTAAGATACCAAAGCAGACGTTAATACCGGTTAAATTTTCAAGAGTATGAGTTTTAATTTTAATCTTATTAGAAGTTAAAGTTCCAGCTGTAGTTTTAATAGTGATATAAAATTCGTAATCATGATCTAATTCTAACCCACTTAATTTAATATAATTACTACCTAATGGAGCGTGTTGAACATGTTGACCATTATCATTGTGATTACGATAAATATCTAAACCTTTTAATTTTGCTTGATGTAAAACTAATGGTTCCCATTCAAGTAAAACTGATGTTTGAGTGACATGCTTGATATGAAGAACTGGTGGTTCTGGTTCATTTCGTCCAAATTCCTCAAGGATCGCTTCTTGCAACTCCCAGAATTCTTTTTTTTTTGCTTCCTCTTGTTCATTATTACGATTTACTCCTATATTTACTATGCTACCAGAGGTTACTCCTGGAGGAAGCAATAATGATGGAAATTCTATCAAATGGTGATCTTCTGTTAACAAGATGGCCTGAAAACGAAAGAAAGGTTACTTAAAAAGTATTTAAAGTTTGAAAAAGGTAAATGATCCTATGAGAAATGTTCTTTTTTTTTTTTTTTATTAATTACCATTCCGGCATCGAGTTTCCCTACCGTAAATTGAACAGAAGTTGAGGTAGACATTGAAATAATCGAATTCGTTACAATACAGAAGAAAAAAAAAAAAAACCTATCGGTTGTAGATCCTCACAATCCTTATATTACAAAACTCCACGTGTTTAACAAGTTACACAAAACGTCAAATGGATAAAACCCCCAATTTTTTTTTTTATAAATAAAATTTGACCTACACTTTTTGTTATAATAATAATGGTGTGTTTTTATTACTTTTTGGTGTCGACATTGCGAATTGAATCGCGAAACGTTTTCAAAAAATTTTTTTTTCGGTTAACAATCCTTTTTTTTTTTTTTTTGTTTGTTTTTTTTCTCAAATAATAGCTGTTTTATTCATTTTTTAAGACACTTATTGGTCACCAAGTGACAGTAGAATTGAAAAATGATTTGGCAATTACAGGTATCCTCTCGTCAGTAGATCAATTCTTAAATATTAAACTTGATGATATTCGAGTGGTGGATGATACCAAATACCCTCATATGGTATTTATAATTGATTTTTTATTAAGAACAAAATTACAAAAATTCGAGTAATTTGAGTTTGATAAAGTTCTTTCTGATTTACAATAGATGGCGGTCAAGAATTGTTTTATACGTGGATCGGTTGTAAGATACGTACAACTACCCGCTAGTGCAGTAGATACGGCTTTATTACAAGATGCTGCTAGAAGAGAAGCACAAACACCAACAACAGCGGCTGCTCACACAATGAACCGTTAATTCTATTTTTACGAAGAAAAAATTATTATTATTATTATT